CGGGTGCCTGTAGTCCCAGCTACTTGGGAGGCTGAGGCAGGAGAATTGCTTGAACCCAGGAGGCAGAGGTTGCAGTGAGCTGAGATTGCACCACTGCACTCCAGTCTGGGCGACCAACAGAGCGAGACTCTGTCTCAAAAAAAAAAAAATTTCTTTAGACACAGGGTTTCACTCTGTCACCCAGGCTGGAGTGCAATGGCTCAACTATGGCTCACTGCAGTCTCAACTTTCTGGCCTCAGATCCTCCTGCCTCAGCCTCCCAAGCAGTTGGACTACAGGAACACACCACCATGCCCCACTAATTTAAAAAAAATTTTTTTGTAGAGACAGAGTCTGGCTATGTTGCCCAGGCTGGTCTTGAACTCCTGACTCAAGCAATCCTCCCGCCTCAGTCTCCCAAATTGCTGGATTACAGGTATGATTCACTGTGCCTAGCTTCCTTCCTACTTTCTAATGCCAAGCATCACTGTCATGTGCAAACATTTATTTTTCACTTACTATGGTGTGCAGAAACTTTTTTTCCTATTTCCTATTGTCTCTATGTCCATATCTTTGCTTACGCTAATCCTCTCACCCAGAATTTCCTTCCTGTTCCTGTCAAGTATTGTGTCTCCAGTTCTTTTCTCTCTCTCTCTCTCTTTTTTTAAGATATGGGGTGTTGCTATGTTGTCCAGTCTTGTCCCAAAATCCTCAAGTGATCCTCCTGCCTCAGCCTTCCAAAGTGCTTTAGCCTCCCAAAGTGCTAAGATTACAGGTGTGAGCCATTGTGCCCAGCCTAATTCTTTTCTTCTTGAACTTTTTTTAGCTTAAGTGGTCAACACTCCCTGGAGTAGTAGGTACTTTTTTCCTACAATAATTTTCATATAGGGTCTTTATGTATTTCCATGGCAGTAATAACTCTGGCACTAGTAACACTGGTCTTCAGTAAATAGTTGATTGCTGAGCAAGCCTTAGAGAGAAGAGCATCTCTCTAGTGAGAAGGTCTGCAGTCTTCCTGGGTGTTCTCTCCATCCTTTTTTTTTTTTTTTTTTTTTTTTAAAATGGAGTCTGGCTCTGTTGCCTAGGCTGGAGTGCAATGGTGTGATCTTGACCCACTGCAAACTCCACCTCCCAGTTTCAAGTGACTGTCTTGCCTCAGCTTCCTGAGTAGCTCGGATTATAGGCACCTGCCATCATGCCTGGCTAATTTTTGTATTTTTGTAGAGACTGGGTTTCACCATGTTGGCCAGGGTGGTTTTTAACTCCTGTCCTCAGGAGATCCACCCTCCTTGGCCTCCCAAAGTTCTGGGATTACAGGCATGAGCCACCATGCCCGGCCTCTCCATCCTATCTTCAAGGAATTGCTCAATCCTCCTGGTTGATCTCCTTGAAACGAAGTGTTCCTGAGGAGAGACCTTGAGAGCCTGGGAGAATGCAGATCTGAGTTGGGAATAATGGGAAAGCCTGATTGGTCTTTCTGTTATCAGAGATCAGACATCAGACATCAGCGGTTTTTTTTTTTTTTTTTTTTAGACAGAGTCTGGCAGTGCCGCCCAGACTGGAGTGCAGTGGCATGATCTCAGCTCACTGCAAGCTCCGCCTCCCGGGTTCACACCATTCTGCTGCCTCAGCCTCCGGAGTAGCTGGGACTACAGGCGCCTGCCACCACGCCTGGCTAATTTTGTGTATTTTTAGTAGAGACGCAGTTTCATCGCGTTAGCCAGGATGGTCTCAATCTCCTGACCTCATGATCCGCCCGCCTCGCAGGCGTGAGCCAGCGCGCCTGGACAGCTGTGTGGTTCTTAAGGGGTCCCATTCATTTTATAACTAGTGTTTCTCAATTTTCTTTTTTTCTTTTTGAGATGGAATCTTGCTCTCTGTCACCAGGCTGGAGTGCAGCGGTGCGATCTCGGCGCACTGCAACCTCCACCTCCCAAGTTCAAGCGATTCTCCTGCCTCAGCCTCCCGAGTAGCTGGGATTATAGGCGTGCGCCACCACACCCAGCTAATTTTTTTGTATTTTTAGTAGAGAAGGGGTTTCACCATGGTCTCTATCTTCTGACCTCGTGATCCGCCCACCTCAGCCTCCCAAAGTGCTAGGATTACAGGCGTGAGCCGCTGCACCCGGCAGGAGAGTATAAGTTTAAGAAAATTGAGAAGACCTGGCGCGGTGGCTCATGCCTGTAATCCCAGCACTTTAGGAGGCCAAGGCGGGCGGATCACCTGAGGTCGACAGTTCGAGACCAGCCTGACCAACATGGAGAAACCCCGTCTCTATTAAAAATACAATATCAGCTGGGCATGGTGGCGCATGCCTGTAATCCCAGCTACTTGGAGGCTGAGGCAGGAGAATCGCTTGAACTTGGGAGGCAGAGGTTGCGGTGAGCCAAGACCGGGCCATTGCACTCCAGCCTGGGAAACAAGAGCGAAACTCATCTCAAAAAACAAACAAACCAAAAAAACACCAAAAAACAAAAACGTATACTCTCCCAAATGAGATTTGTTGGAACCTGACTTTCTATAGTTTGCAGCTCAAAAACGGTAGGGGCCAGGAGCAGTGGCATGCACCTGTAATCCCAGGTACTCAGGAGGCTGAGTGGGGAGGATTACTTGAGCCTGGGTGCCCAGGGATTCAAGACCAGCCTGGATAACGTGGCAAGACCCTCATCTCAAAAAGCAATAGAGTTTTCTTCTCAAATATGAAATGATATCACTGAATATATTCTTTTCCAACTACCGTCTCATTCATTTGGGACCTCCTTCCGACTGGGAAGCAGTGACTTCTGGAAAATTATTCTAAGTTTGCGATATCCATGAGTACAGCATCATATCCAATGTTCAAAAGGTAACACTCTAGGCTGGGCGCGGTGGCTCATGCCTGTAATCCCAGCACTTTGGGAGGCTAAGGCGGGTGGATCACTAGGCCAGGAGATCGAGACCATCCTGGCCAAGATGGTGAAACCCCTTTTCTACTAAAAAAAAATACAAAAAATTAGCCAGGCGCAGTGGCGGGCGCCTGTGGTCCTAGCTACTCTGGAGGCTGAGGCAGAAGAATGGCGTGGACCCTGGAGGCGGAGCTTGCAGTGAGCAGAGATTGCACCACTGCACTCCAGTCTGGGTGACAGAGCGAGACTCTTGTCTAAAAAATAAAAAAATATAACATTCCAGCTCCTCCTAAAATATAATCCATCTATGCTTGCTTTATATTTGTTTTCAATAATTTGAGAAACGAGCACCCAGTTCTGGGTGAGGGGTGGTGGTGGGGCTGGACACGGTGTTTCCTGTTTGTTTTAACACACACCAGGCACAGTGCCACAGGAAAAAACAAAATTCCAAGAAAGGACTGGGGAGGCCACTTTTCATGTGACTACTGCCTGCCTGTCAGTGCTAGCCTCTCCTGACTCTAATTATAAGTGGGCAAAAGCACGTTAGAAACCCACAGAACTGGCTGGTGAATGGGAAACTTGCCTGCCTTCTTTATCAGTGTATTCCTCAACCGAATCACTGTTTATTATTTTTTTGAGACGGAGTCTTGCTCTGTTGCCCAGGCTGGAGTGCAGTGGTGCGATCTAGGCTCACTGCAACCTCCGCCTCCTAGGTTCAAGCAATTCTCCCTGCCTCAGCCTCCAGAGTAGTTGGGATTACAGGTGCCCTCCACCACGTCCAGCTAATTTTTGTATTATTTAGTAGAGACAGGGTTTTGTCATGTTGGCCAGGCTAGTGTTGAACTCCTGACCTAAGGTGATCCGTCCGCCTCGGCCTCCCCAAGTGCTGGGATTACAGGCTCAGGGAGTCACCGCACCCGGCCCCAAATCGACTGTTAGAGCAAACTGAGACATGCCGTTTATCGAACGCTCTTTTATATCTTCCTTGGTGCGGGGTGTTTTTCCAATTATTAACTATTTAATCTTCACAAGCTCATGAGAACCACTGGTATCCTAATTTTGCAGATAAGGAGCTAAACACTCATTTGGAGGGGAGAAGAGGAGGACTGGAGTTCAGAAAGTGCATTCGATGCTCTTATCCTGGAGGCTGGAGCTAGGAGTTCACCTCCCTGGAGAATAGCTTTTGGGAATCCCGTTTGAAATTGCCGCTCAAGGCCAGCTCGGCATCCAGCCTAGGAATTGGAAGGATTCTGGAGAATCCCCTTAGGAAGAAATGTTTAAAAGTGCAAAGTGAATAGTAGAAGCCTCTCTCCCGGTCACTAGGGGTACATTTGCCGTTCTCTTATCAACAGCACCTCAAGTAGAAGCATCTGGGACAAGGACTAGAACCGTGCCTGGGGCAGCCCCCACGTCCTCTAGGGAACAGGGGTGGAGGGCTGGCCAGAGTGGCTGAGGGCGGCCCGCCGCCGACGCTGTGGGCAGGAAGCCGGCGCTTTGTCTTCTCTCCCACCGCGGAGAACACGAGGCGGAGGCGCGCCCCAGCTGGTCACACGCTGCCCAGGGCGGGCGTCGGTCAAGAGCCCTGTTTCCAAGCAGGATTAAAAGGGAACCAAAGGTCTGGCCGAGGGGCCTCAGAAGCTCCTGGGCGAGGCCTGAGCCCGTGGGTCTCGACACTAAAATCTGGCGAGCTCCCTGCGCGTTCGCAAACGTTTTGGAGCTCTTAAGAGCCGGGCGACGCCTGCGCTGGCCAGGCGCCGTGCCCACGGGAGGCGCCGTCCTCTTTGTAACTGGAGCAGACCCTGGCAGGCCAGTTGCTATGGCAATGTTCCTCGCTCGGCTGAGTGAGGCCGGGAGGTAGGCGGGCCTTGGCGGACGTCACCCACCCTCGCCTTTCGGGAGCCGCCCCACCCCCAACTAACTGTTTGCCAGAAAGGAACCGTAAGATAGATGCTTTGTAAGTGAGGCATCTAGGGGGCCATATTAGAACAGAAAACCAGGACAGCCTTTTTCTCCGTCAACCTCGCCACAAATCCCTTCGTGCCAACGGTTTTAACGGTCCTTCAAAGCCAGAAGGAGGAGGCGTGGTAATTCGGGGTGGGGGTTTTTTCGAAGGGCCACGCCCTTTCCTCGACCTTCGGATTTTTCCAGGCCGCGCCCACGGCAGGAGGGGTTGTTCTAGAGCACGCCCCTTCCTTGTTCGCGCGGAAAGAGAACCAAAATGGAGGAGTAATAATCATGATTAAATTGAGCGAGCGCAACTAATCACGCGAAGAGGGCCGCGGGAGGGCCGCCTTCCGCAAGCGTGCTTCGAGACCTCCGCTTCCCACCTATTCGGCGGCGCCCTGTTGTTTCTGCGCCTGCGCGCTGCTTCCCGCGAGCTCACGGGCGGAGCGAACACGCACAGAGTCGCAGGGGCGCGCAAAGGGGGAGGAGCGGGCGTGACCAGGCGCGCGCGCGTCTGGAGTGACTCTAGAGAGCAGGCGAGTCGGGCGGATCGGGTGGGTAGAGTGGTGCCGTCCGGTTGTTTGGTGGGAGGTACGTAAGGCCGCTCTGGGCACGTGGGCGCCCATTTCGCTGGCTCGTTCGGTTCTAGGAGCAGATCCGGGGTAGAGGGAAGAGAGCTCCGGGTCAGGGGCTGCTGTCGCCGCCGCCGTCCGGGAGTTAGCCCGCCAGCCCGCTAGCCAGCGCTTCGCGGGCCCTGCCGGTCACGGTAAGCGGGCCTGCGCTTACCGGAAAGAGGAGCGTAAGATGGAAGAGTGTGAGAGACCATGGGGGGTCTGTGGGGGAAGGGAAGTGGGGGTGTGTGTAAGGGGCAGGGTGTATGATGAGATAAAACCCAGCAAAGAGTAGTAATAATGGCCACCGCCACACGGTAATATTCGAGTGATATGTGCGGGGACTTTACAAAGCACCTCATATGCTTCATTTTAACTTCTACTCCAATCGTCCGAGGTGCGTACTGTTATCAAACCCATTTTACAAGATAGGAAAACTGAGGCACGAAATAGGTTAAGTAGCTTATGCAAGGACGCACAACTACGTGGCTTGACCTGGCTTCGAACTTAGTTCTCTTAGTCCTAAGGCCCGTAATTTTAACTTTGCTTTACCAAACAAACACAGAAGAAGAATGGTGTGTCAGAAGGAGGAGGACTGAGTGTGATTTGAAGTGGACAGATGATGATAAACGAGAAGAGAATGATGATGGGAGACAGAGTAGTGGGGAGGAGGACCTGAATATGGAATCTTGCGGGCCTCCCCCTTCTAAGTCGCCGCCTCCTCCTCAGTTCTTGAGGCCCCACAACTTTTTCTTGGTATTCTATGGCTTTAGGAATGGAGGAGCCAACTCACAGACCTGGGCCGTTCGGGTGGTTTTAAGAAGTTTGAACTGCGGTTCAGTCCAGGACAGTGCCTTGAGACACTGTGTTTGGAGGTAGGGGAGGGTCAGAGGATCCTCTTAAACGCTGCTGCTATTTATTTCTTCAAACGTGCCACTTCCTTTTCTATCTTATCTAGGCACGGCAAAGCCTTTGTGTAGTCCTCTCGAATAGGGAAGTGATGTTTATTGTTTCCTTGTACACTTGGGCTTAAACAAAATCAGACTCAACATTTCTTTTCCCGAGCAAGGCCTTGATTGCTTGCAGAGAAAACGTTCCGGTGGCTTTATCATTAGTTGCCCTTCAGAGCTTTCCTGTGTAAATAAGGAGTTATGTTTTGGAGAAGTTTACACTGTAGATCAACGGGAGCTATCTGAACATACTGCCCTGCAGGTCAGCACAGGGCAGGGACTTCAGTAATTCATAGGGGTGTGTGTGTTTGTGAAAACCTTTCCCTCTTGCACAGTTTTCTCTGTAGCTCATGTGGGAGTCAAGTTTTTAAGTCAGCCCGTGAGGCAAACATTGTATGTAATAAAAATTAATCCTTAACAATTTCTTAGAAACATTCAACGCTTGAGATTAGCATCCTGTTTGTGACTACATGCTGGACAGTTTTTCCTTCAGTTTTGAAACTTGTTACTGCTGCTTTGGTTGTAACCCGGATAAGTAATTAGGTTACCTTTAGGGGCTGTGTTGTGCAAATAAGGGTATTTGAAAGCCGTAGAGTTGTGATGTGCTGTGAGATGCTTGCACTGAGGAGGCTTAAAAGGAGGAAGACAAACCCCTATCTTAGGCTCATTTTGGAGCATGTGCTTATGAAGTGGAAAGTGGCAGGCTGAATTGCTGGGATGATGATGATGATGATGATGATGATTTTTTTGAAACGTGCTCTTGCTCAGTCGCTGAGGCTGGAATGCAGTGGCGTAATCACAGCTCACTGCTGCAGCCTCGACTTGCTGCAGCCTCGACTTCCTGGGGCTCAAGTGATCCTCCCAGCTCAGTCTCCTGAGTAACTGGGACTACAGGCACACACTACCGTGCCTGCCTAAGTTTTTGTACTTTTTGTAGAGACGGGGGGGTCTTACTTTGTTGCCTAGGCTGGTCTCGAACTCCTAAGTTCAAGTGATTCTGCAACCTCAGCCTCTCAAAAGTGCTGGGATTAGAGGTGTGAGCTACTGCCCTCGTCCTCCTGGTATTTAAGTTGCTATTTTATTTTATTTTTTGGCCAACATATGTCAGTAATTTGACTTGCTAAATTAAATGTGCGTAGTGTGATTCCTCTTTAATTTTTGAGTGGCACTACATTCAGGGGCTTGCAGGCTATTGTTTACTTCCCCACAGATCCTAGCTAACTTTGGAGCAAAAATGGCTTACATATTTTTGCCAGCTGTCTGGCTTTTGCAGTCCCCATATATATGCCAGATATGTATAACAGTGGTTAACTTTTTAAAAACCAGTTCTCTTTTAAATGGAGGTTCAAGGCATCTTTTGGTTGTTTGGGGTTTTTGTTGTTGTTGTTGTTGCTTTTGCTTTTATGGAAACATCTCCCAGAAACTCGGGAGTGATACACCCACTTCCTCCAAAGTAGTTATGGTTATGTTTGAAATGACACCAAAAATGGAGGATATTATTTCAGTTAGGGAAATAAGGAGGTACCACTGATTTAACATTATATGGGTATAGAAAATGGTTTTAAGGCCTTTTGCAGGGGAGAAATCTTAAGCAAGTTTAGGAATCTAAAATTCTGAATTGGAACATTTTCTGAATTATGGTCAGATAGTGGAATTTACTCCACATTCATTCTGAACTTCTCTCTTTTCTTGATCTTTATTGTTCTTTTGCAAGCCTGTAATAGAACAAAAACAAGAGAAGAAATATATCCTGGCTTTAAGAAATTTCTACTATGTTTTTGTGGGGAGATACCACATAGTCTACTTAAGTTTAACTACTATAATTACAGAGAAAAATCTGTAGAAGTATAGGATACCTTGAATAAATGGAATCTTCAAGGGTTGCTGGCAAACCAACAGTTTGATTTCTCAGAAGTTTCTTAGAGAAATGATGCCAGTTTTGTTTTGCTCCAGATTCTCATTGTTGCATCTGCCAATCTTGAAAGTAGGAAGCAAAGATATTCCTTGCTCTGTCCTTTGGGAACCACTTACATTCGTTTTACTGTTTCTAGGAAATTTTCTTTAAATATATACATTAGAGTCCACTATTGTGTTGTGGATCCATGCAGTGGGCTTGCCTTAGAAGTAAATGCCTTTATTTTTTGTTGTTTGTTTGTTTTTTTTTTGGAGACATAGTCTCGCTCTGTCGCCCAGGCTGGATTGTGGTGGCACTTCTTGTCTCACTGCAACCTCCGCCTCCTGGGTTCAAGCAATTCTCCTGCCTCAGCCTCCAGAGTAGCTGGGACTGCAGACGCATGACATCACAGCCAGCCAATGTTTTGTATTTTTAGTAGAGACGGAGTTTCACCGTGTTAGCCAGGATGGTCTCAATCTCCTGCCCTTGTGATCCACCCGCCTCGGACTTCCAAAGTGCTAAGATTACAGGTGTGAGCCACCACAGCCGACTTTTTTGTATTTTTATAACCAGGCCTCATATGTTGTTTGCCATAATAATAAGAGCATTAGTCAGAGACCCAATCATGATGAATTTTTTTCTCACAGAATACTTTCCCCTCCCTAATTTTTCTCTTGAAAAATACACCATGAATCATTCTGTTTCTGGCTGAATGATTTATACCAGCCATCTTTAGTCCTACTGTTGAATTGCTGCATAGTTTCTTTTTAATTTATGTGTTTAAAAGTAAATACTGGCCGGTGGATCACAAGGTCAGGAGTTCAAGACCAGCCTGGCCAATATAATGAAACCACATCTCTACTAAAATACAAAACTTAGCTGGGCGTGGTGGCGCACACATGTAGTCCCAGCTACTTGGGTAGCTGAGGCAGGAGAATCGCTTGCACCCAGGAGGCAGAGGTTGCAGTGAGCCAGGAGTGCACCACTGCGCTCTAGCCTGTGCGAGAGAGCGAGACTCCATCTCAAAAAAAAAAAAAAAAAAAAAAAGTGAATACTAACTCAAATTCTGATTTTCGTTGTGGTTTTTAGGGTTCAGATTAACAAGTGGGATTGTTTTCTACCGCTTAAATCCCTCACTTCATGCTCTGTTTGCACAAATCTAAAGAGGCACTGGTATATCTAAAGAGGCACTGGTGTTGTTAATTGCCTCTAGTTATATTTGACTTTTGGATTGTAGAGAAAAATAATTTCCTTTTGTGGGTTGGGGGAAGAATCCCATGCCAGTATTCATCATATGGGTACAAAGGCTTGAGTGTGAGAGTTTAGGTCGACGTTCTTTCAGGCTTTCAGAGATCTCAGGTACATTGAAAATGGCTAAGGTGATTCCTTTAGGACTGTTTCCATGATTTGGTCCCTGTGCAAAGTGATGTGAAAGTCATGGATAAGGGCATATTTGTGGTAACTGGGGATTATTTTGGTCTAGTCTACAGAGAGCTGAAAAACTAGGGTAGTGGTTTCACTTCTGTGGCAGAGGACTGCTGGGCAGAAGTTTTAGTAACTTCAGTTTCTTCAGGAAAGAACCGTGTGTGTGTGCGTGTGTTTGCGTGTGTTTGTGTGTGTTGATAAGAGTTTCCCCATCATATAAAATGGAGAATAATCTTAATGTTTTAAACTAATGAAGTGATTGTAAAATATTGTTTTGATGTCTTTGTTTTGTTGACATCTTATGTGTGTATAAACTTACATGATTTTAAAATGTTTTAAAATCTAGATCAGATCAAACATTGTCTGGCTTGCACTGTAAAACTAGTTAGCTGACGGCGACTTCTCAGGTTTCTTCAGGATGCCTGCAGCACTTGTGGAGAATAGCCAGGTTATCTGTGAAGTATGGGCCAGTAATCTAGAAGAAGAGATGAGGAAGATCCGAGAAATCGTGCTCAGTTACAGTTATATTGCCATGGTAAGGAGCTCTACTCTGACTCACCTCCTTTTTTACTCTTAGAGATGGGGTCTTGCTCTGTTGCCCAGGCTGGAGTGCAGTGGCTATTCACAGATGCAATCAATCATAGCTCACTGCAGCCTTGAACTCCTGGGCTCAAGCAGTCCTCCCACCTTACCTTTCCAGGTTGCTGGGACTGCAGGCTCATACCACCATGCCCAGCTTGACTCACCTTCTTATATGGATGGGTTGAGGGAATGTTTAATTTGAGATCTTGAAAAGAATGAGTATGTTCCACTAAAGCCATTGTGAATTAAACCTGACGGAAGGTTGTGTTGCTTTATGAAATATCAAGGTAGCCAGTGTCTCTGAGAAGGATGTAACCTCTAGTATCTTAGATTTTTTGTAACATTATTCTGTTTGAAAGTCTTTAAAGCAGAAGTTACATCAACCCCCAGGGCCCATCTGTTCTACAGATACGGTGAATTTGACTACACAATGTTTATTCAAAATTTTAAAAATTTATTGCCAGCATTTAAAAGTCAGTAGAACTCAGTTGAATTCCAGATTTCTGGCATCCCTGAAAAAAAAATAGGAAGACCTGGCAATATATGTTATCTACCCCTGCCTGACACTGGCTGGAGAAAGAGATGAGTATTGTGGTAATATTAAGAGCCTCCTGTAGAGAGGCATGTGCTCTCTGTTTTACTCCAGTCCCTGTTACTTGTACCATTTTCATACCTAGCTGACTTTACTCCTTTACATTAGCTGCTTGGAATTTGTGACTCTTGCTTTAGAAATTATAGAGTTAAGTCTGTAGCTTGGTATTCAGAGCTCCTTCCAGTCTTTTCACTCAAGCTAAGCCTGTCTCTTTATATTTTTTTCTGAATGGCTGTTTCACTTCCCTGTATTTGTATTTTTATTCATATATTGTTCTCAACCTAGAATGTTCTTAATTGACTGCATATCTACCTGTAGTTACTCAACTCTTTCTATTGACATTCTGCTTATTTAGGATCAAGTTGTTGTGCGAAGCTTCATGATTCTAGTGCTTCTTTAGTAGATATCAACAAGATCAGTATTTTAAGATAGGATTTTGGCCGGTCGTGTTGGCTGATGCCTGTAATCTGTGCACTTTGGGAGGCCGAGGCAGGTGGATCACTTGAGATCAGCCTGGGCAACATGGTGAAACCCCATCTCTACAAAAAATACAATAATTAGCTGGGTGTGGTAGCATGGACCTGTAGTTCCAGCTACTTAGGGAGGCTGAGGGGGGAGGATTGATTGCACTTGTGAGGTTGAGGCTGTAGTGAGCTGTGATTGTGCTACTGCCCTGCAGCCTGGGTGACAGAGACAGACCAACCCTATCTCAAAAAAACACAAAAAGAATTTTGTGCCCAAGTTTGGGGCTTGTCACATAACTTTTATAAATGGAGGTAAAATTTTATTTATGAATTACCAATTCAGCATCCACTGTTTTCTGAAACCTTGTGATGAGAGACTTTTTCCTTTTCCAGGACACAGAATTTCCAGGTGTTGTGGTGCGACCAATTGGTGAATTTCGTAGTTCCATAGATTACCAGTATCAGCTTCTGCGGTGCAATGTTGACCTTTTAAAAATTATCCAGCTGGGCCTTACATTCACAAATGAGAAGGGAGAATATCCTTCTGGAATCAATACTTGGCAGTTCAATTTCAAATTTAACCTTACGTAAGTGATTTCTAAATAATTTTGTTAATTTTAAGTTTTGTTTTCACTGAATCCAGGTAGGTGTTGGATAGAGTGGTCAAGCAGAGGATGGAATAGGGAATCTCAGCAAGTGAAGTCCTGCTTAAAGAACTGCAGCAGCTCAACAATGAAAAGATAACCCAACTAAAAATGTGCAAAAGATCTGAATAGACTTCTTGAAAGATAATGTACAGATGGCCAGTAAGCACATGAAAAGATGCTCAACATCATTAGTCATGAGGGAGATGCAAATTAAACCCACATTGGGATACCACTTCACACCCACTAGAATGGCTGTAGTCAAAAAGACATAATAAGTGTTGTTGAGGGTGTGGAGAAAATTGGAACCCTCATACATTGCTGCTGGGAATATAGAATTTGGGGGAAATTCTGGAAAATAGTTTTGCAGTTCCTGAAAATGTTAAACATAGAGTTGCCACATGAGCTAGCAATTCCACTCTTAGGCAGTGGAAGATTCCATGGTATGTATATACCACATTTTGTTTATTCATCTGTTGATAGACACTTGGGTTTCTTCTACCTCTTGGCTGTTGTGAATATTGCTGCTATGAACATGGGTGTGCAAATATTTCTTCAAGGTCTTGCTTTCAGTTCTTTTGGATATATACCCAGGAATTTAAATTTTTTTTTTTTTTTAAAATACCCAGGAATTTTAAAGGAAAATTTGGGGGAGACTGTCATTTTGCTGATTGCATGAAGTGATGTTAGTGTACTTCCTATCATATCCTGCTTTGTTTAACTGGGCATTAGGAGTGTTTCATGACTTAGGAGTAATCTTTTCTTCCTGTGAAGACAGGGTCTGCTTTGTCACGCAGGCTAGAGTGCAGTGGTGTGAACATGGCTGACTGCAGCCTCAATCTCCCAGGCTCAAGTGATCCTCCCACGTCAGCCCCCCCAAGTAGCTGGGACTACAGGTGCATGCCACCATGCCCGGCTAATTTTTTGTGGGAAGTGATCAGCCCGCTTTGACCTCCCAAAGTGCTGGGATAACAGGTGTGAGCCATTGTGCCTGCAAGGAACAACTTTTTTTGTTGTTGTTCGTATGTTTTGGAAATTTCCTTGAGGTTCAAGTAATTTTGGGAGATCATCTGGATCTTTCCTTTAGCTACATTTTTTAGTTTATTGTCAAAGCCTGTGAGTTCGTACCATAAAAATAATATAATACAAGGAAGAAAAATGAGTTATTTCAGAGTGGTTTGAGTATGTTTGGATTTAAAATAATGTTTACTTGCGGCTGGGCGTGGTGGCTCACACCTGTAATTCCAGCACTCTGGGAGGCTGAGGTGGGTGGATCAATGGATCACTTGAGGCCAGGAGTTCAAGACCAGCCTGCCCAATGTGGTGAAACCCTGTCTCTACTAAAAATACAAAAAGCCAGGTGTGCTGGTGGGTGCCTGTAATCCCAGCTACTTAGGAGGCTGAGGTGGGAGGATCACTTGAACTCAGGAGGTGGAGGCTGCAGTGAGTCGAGATTGTGCCACTGCATTCCAGCCTAGGTGACAGAGTGAGACTCTGCCTCAATAAAAAGAAAAAAGAAATAATGTTTACTTGGGATTGAAGCCTAGTTATAATAAAACAAAAAAATAATGTTTATTTAAGTGGAAAAGAAACTTGTGATTCAACACTGGTTTTAATTTAGTGGAAAAAAATCAAGATTGCAGTGGTTTTCTTATTGCCTAACCCAAGTTTATATGAAAAGCAAGTGAAAGTCTAGTGGAACAGGATTTGTTTAGCTTATTTCCTTACTTTTGTGTTACATGGTATGGTAAATAATTCATGTGGTTGAATTAATGGATATATCTTTACAGTGGAATATTATGCCAGTGTTACAATGGATGAGTACTGATTTGTAAAGATGGTCTGTGATGTAGAGATGTAAGAGATGTAGGTGTCTATGTGTAGATAGATAAAATAGTCTGGAAAGAGCTGTAAACGAAGGTGTTGTACCTGTGGGGTAGCATTATAAGAACATTAATTTTTTCAATTTTTTTCATAACAGAGTCTTTCAGATAATCATCTGTATACCAAGTAATAACATGTTACAAGTTATTTAATTCTGTCATCTAGTAATTTTGATTAAGAGAAACTAAGAGTAGCTCAAGCAATTACACTAGTATTCATTGTTTGAACCATTAACAGGAGTAGACTACTTTAAGACTGGCTGTTGCTTCACATGGGTTACAAATAACTATTTGCTACTTTTTCATAGATAAAGCCCCTGACCTTCATGGAAGCATTAGGGAAAAAGAAAACTTAATTTCTTTCCTTCTTCAAAGAACTTTTTCCTTTCACTAGATATAAGAAAGAAAAAGTCAACAATGATACATGTATTGCTTGAGCTAAAAGACATAGGAAAACAGACAACACATACCCATTATATTTCTATGAAATATGAGGTAAAGAGAAAATTTTTTTAATGTCCTTTTTAAAATATAAGAGCTTTAGTTGAGTTGTAAGTCTGTACAAAGAAGCTAGATTTGCTACTCTCCAAGAAGTGAAGGGACCTGCTATGTAATATACAGAAATCTTTTACTTCCTTTTTTAAAAAAATTTTTAAATTTTTTAAAATTTTTATTTGAGACGGAATCTTGCTCTGTCACCCAGGCTGGAGTGGCACAATCTCAGCTCACTGCAACCTGTGCCTCCTGGGTTCAAGCAATTCTGCCTCAGCCTCCCGAGTAGCTGGGATTACAGGCGTGCCCACCACCATGCCTGTCTAATTTTTGTATTTTTTTAGTAGAGATGGGGTTTCACCATGTTGGCCAGGCTGGTCTTGAACTCCTGACCTTGTGATCCGCCCGCCTTGGCCTCCTAAAGTGCTGGAATTACAGGTGTGAGCCACCACGCTTCACCTATTTACTGCCTTTTTTTTTTTTTTTTTGAGATGGTGTCTCGCTTTGTCACCCAGGCTGGAGTGCAGTGGCGCGATCTCGGCTCACTGCAACCTCTGCCTCCCAGGTTCAAGCAGTTCTCTGCTTCAGCCTCCCTAGTAGCTGGGATTACAGGTGCCCACCACCATGCCTGGCTAATTTTTGTATTTTTAGTAGAGATGGGTTTCACCATCTTGGCCAGGCTGGTCTTTAACTCCTGACCCTTGTGATACACCCACGCTGGCCTCCCAAAGTGCTAGGATTACAGGTGTGAGCCACCGCACCCGATCTATTTACTTCTTTTTCGTAGGAATGTAACGAGCTTTGCCAAAGCTTTATGTTCCCTGAGGTTATCTAAAATGCTGGTTCATGGAACAGGCACTTATTTCTCCCACTCCTTTCCATTTATGCTGTAGTTTTCATGGATTTCTGGCCAATGTCACAGAGGCCAAGAGGCTACCCAAGCCTTTTTCTGCCATAAGTAGGTCTGGTGGCTGGTCCTTTTCTGGGCTTCCTATGCCACTTGAGTGCTGCAGCTACTGGGATTCCAGGGCTGTGGCTTCCTTGACCTGGACCGCTTCCTCTTTCTGCAGGTGGTACTGTTAAGTTTCATCCTCAGCTGCTCCTTTCATCTGTTTCAGCCTCTGGGTCTTTTGCTCATGTGCCTTGGATACCTTCTCAGTGGCACATTTCTTGGCCCACAGCAGCTGCTGGAACCCCTGAGACTGACTGGCCATGGTCGTGGTGACTCTGAGACTGAGGCAAGCAGCCTGAATCAGCTGGAAGGTGCATCGGGTCATCTTAGCTGGCTGCCCACCATCTGTGCCTCAGTATTTTTTTGTTGGTTAATTTTTTTTTTTTTTTTTGAGATGGAGTTTCGCTCTTGTTGCCCAGGCTGGAGTGCAATGGCGCTATCTCGGCTCACCGCAACCTCTGCCTCCCAGGTTCAAGTGATTCTCCCACCTCAGCATCCCGAATAGCTGGGATTACAGGCATGCGCCACCACGCCCGGCTAATTTTGTATTTTTAGTAGAGACGGGGTTTCTCCACATTGGTCAGGCTGGTCTTGAACTCCCAACCTCAGGTGATCTGCCCACCTTGGCCTACCAAAGTGCTGGGATTATAGGCGTGAGCCACTGCACCCGGTCTTGTTTTTTTTTTTTTTTTTTAAGTTTATTTATTTATTTATTTTTTGAGACAAAGAGTCTTGTTCTGTTCCCTAGGCTGAAGTACAGTGGTGCCATCTTGGCTCACTGCAACCTTTGCCTCCTGGGTTCAGGTGATTCTTATGCCTCAACTTCCTGAGTACCTGGGATTACAGGGGCGCACCACCACATCTGACTAATTTTTGTTTTTGAGATGGAGTCTCGCTCTGTCATCAGGCTGAAGCACAGTGGCATGACCTTGGCTCACTACAACTTCTGCCTCCCGGATTCAAGCAGTCTCCTGCCTCAGGCTCCCAAGTATCTGGGACTACAGGTGCATGCCACCATGCCCAGCTAATTTTTGTGGTTTTAGTAGAGACAGGGTTTCACCATGTCAGCCAGGATGGTCTCAATCTCTTGACCTTGTGATCTGCCCACCTTGGCCTCCCAAAGTTCTGGGATTACCAGCATGAACCACTGCGCCCGGCCTAATTTTTGTATTTTTAGTAGAGACAGAGTTTCACCATGTTGGCCAGGCTGGTTCGAACTCTTGGCCTCAAGTGATCCGCCTGTCTCAGCCTCCCAAAGTGCTGGTATTACAGGTGTGAGCCACCATGCCCAGCCTGTTTATTTTATTTTTGAGACAGGATCTTGCTCTGTCACCCAGACTAGAGTGCAGTGGTGTTAGCCCCCTCCAGTTCTTGACCTCAAGCAATCCTCTCACCTCAGCCTCTAGAGTAGTTGGGACTATAGATGCATACCACCATGCCTGGCGTGTGTGTGTGTGTGTGGTGTTTTTTTTTTTTTCTTTTCTTTTTTTTTTTTTTGAGACAGTCTTGTCTATTGCCTAGGCTGGTCTGGAACTCCTGGCCTCAGGTGATCTTCCTGCCTTGGCCTTGCAGAGTGCTGGGATTACAGGCGTGCACCACTGTGCCAGGTTTTTTTTTTTTTTTTTCCTCCAAATAATGAGCAAATGTATACCCATTATAATTAGGAAATTTAGTTTATGGAGGAAAATCTCATTTTTCTATCTGTCACAGAAATATGATGATCTACTCTGCATGCTTGTTTGAATGTTGGAAAGAGTGAATTCATCTATTAAGTTAGGAAAAGCATTTCAAAAATACTTGTACTATAAGTATAAGGTGGTGGTAATATTGTGGCCACTACTTCTGTTTCTTTATTCACCAGTTAATAAATAAACACCTTGTTTTTTAGAGAGGACATGTACTCCCAGGATTCCATAGATCTCCTTGCTAACTCAGGACTACAGTTTCAGAAGCATGAAGAGGAAGGGATTGACACACTGCACTTTGCAGAACTGCTTATGACATCAGGAGTGGTTCTCTGTGACAATGTCAAATGGCTTTCATTTCATAGGTCAGTCCTAGGGAATGTGTATTTCTCTCTCACTTTGGGCTACACTGGAGCAGGGAACTGAATTCTTAGTCATTTTTGAAGTCCTAGTGACTGTTGTGTTCATCAGCAGCAGTAAGAAGTTGAATTGGTACTTGTTGCCCATGTTTCAGTTTTTCAGAAAATACTGGGGCTTATATACTGGTTTGTTTCACACGGTATTTGGCTTTATCATGTGGCTATCAGTGGGTTTAATTCCAAGTGGGAATATGGTGGGTGGAGAGGGTCACAGTACTTGGTTATCTTTTAAATGGCTGTCCCCAGAGTTTCTTAGGTACTTGAAAGCCAGATTCTCCTTATTTTAACTTCTCAGTACTTTTGGATTTTTGGTGAATCAAATCCACAGTTAAAACCTTTGGGTACTTTTTTGTATCTCCCATATTAGCCTGTTAGGTTGTTATTGGAAAGTTCAGATTATAGGCCGGGCTTGGTGGCTCACACCTGTAATCCCAACACTTTGGGAGGCTGAGGCAGGCGGATCACCTAAGGTCAGGAGTTCGAGACCAGCCTGGCCACCATGGCAAAACCCTATCTCTACTAAAAATACAAAAATTAGCCAGGCATGGTGGCGGGCGCCTGTAATCCCAGCTACTTGGGAGACTGAGGCAGGGATAATTGCTTGAACCCGGGAGGTGAAGGTTGCAGTGAGCCGAGATCGTGCCATTGCACTCCATCCTGGGCGACAGAGCCAGACTCTGTCTCAAAAAAAAAAAAAAAAAAAAAAAAAAGATTCAGATTATAGTACAATAAACTACTCAGAAAAAGTGAAAGTTCCTAACACGAAGTAGCATTTACAAGCTTTGAGAAATAAAATGGTTGAACACTGGGGCCTGATAACTGCTGCTTTTTTAACCTCTGTGGTTTATTCTCTCCTTGTAGTGGCTATGATTTTGGCTATATGGTAAAGTTGCTTACAGATTCTCGTTTGCCAGAAGAGGAACATGAATTCTTTCATATTCTGAACCTTTTCTTCCCATCCATTTATGATGTGAAATACCTGATGAAGAGTTGCAAAAATCTTAAGGTATATGATGTTTTTCTTAATACCAGTAACAAAAATAAGGACAGAAAAAAAGCTGACTTTGCTTTATTGTTATGTGTTTAGCATGCATTATTGAGTACTAGATGCCAGTGTGGTGGTAGACAGGGTATAATATAAAGCTGATTTGCACAAATATTTGTGTGGCCATGAAGGGAACCCTCTGCTTCTGTCATCTTAAGGCAGGCATTCTTCACTCGAGGCCCATGAACCTAATGAAAAGGTGTAAATGCTGTTTGTTAGGGATGGGGTCTGTGATGTAACAGATTCTCAGAGGGGTTCTTAACTCTAGAAAGTTTTAGAACTTGGTACCCTAATAAATTGTTGACACAGAGCTTTGCTGTCTAGAATTAGAGTGGGATTTACTATTTCCTCAGCCTCGCAATTCTGATTTTAAAGGCAGAGGTCTGGCAACATTAACAACATGGAAAGGAGCAAAATATAGGATGTAGCACAATATAGCGTTTGGAAAAAGGGAAGAAAAGAGCTAAAAAGAGGTTATTAAGGCCTGTTAAATAAATGGCCTGTCCCCATTTCTTGCTAGAATTTAGTGAACTCATAACTGCACTTAGTTGACTTCAGTAGAGGCATGTTGGGTCTGTAATACTATCTTTGTTTTTCATATATCTCCAGGGAGGTCTTCAGGAAGTTGCTGATCAGTTGGATTTGCAGAGGATTGGAAGGCAGCACCAGGCAGGCTCAGACTCACTGCTGACAGGAATGGCTTTCTTTAGGATGAAAGAGGTAAACTTCCTCGAATGTGATCACAGGCCTCTTGGCAGTAACTTACTGAAGACTAAGGAGGTAGTGGATGGTCTGTTGTGTGGGCTGAGATTTGCTGAACATGTATTTTTATTTATTTATTTATTTATTTATTTATTTATTTATTTGAGATGAAACCTTGCTCTGTCACCCAGGCTGGAGTGCAGCGGTGTGATCTCGGCTCACTGCAACCTCCACCTCCCGGGTTCAAGCTTTTCTTCTGCCTCGGCCTCCTGAGTAGCTGGGATTATAGGTGCCCGCCACCGTGCTCTGCAAATTTTTGTATTTTTAGTAGACACGGGGTTTTGCCACGTTGACCAGGCTGGTTCAAACCCCTGACCTCAGGTGACCCGTCTGCCTTGGCCTCCCAAAGTGCTGGGATTACAGGCGTGAGCCATGGTGCCTGGCTGAATTTTTTGTATTTTTAGTAGACACAGGATTTCACTATGCTGGCCAGGCTGGTCTCGAACTCCTGACCTCAGATGATCCACCTGCCTTGGCCTCCCAAAGTGCCGAGATTACAGGCGTGAGCCACCGCGCCCAGTCACACTGATTGTTTTTTTAGCAAGTTGATGGCCACTTTGAAAGTGGTTGTTTTTTGTTATGGTGTTCATCATGTCACATGTTTGAGAGGCAAAAGCAGCATTCTGACATGAGAGCCACTTTCTAGTAACCAAGTATTCTTGAGCACACCCAAGTCCAGAACTTGGTATTCCTGGTAACTCTAATTTTCAGTTATTTGCTTTTTTTTGATTCCTGTAATACAAATATATTTGTTAGGCCATCCACTGACATTATGGTAAGTTCTGTCAATTACTATTAAATAAATACTATATTGAGTTTACTATAACCCCTTAGTAAAAAGACTCTTAATTTCTTCTTTTAGTTTCTTTACTCACTGACTCAGGTTTTAAAATGTATTTGAAGATGTAGAAGGAGTAAGACGCTGCTTGGAAAAATTAAAATGTCGATTTTGTTGACACTTTTGAGGAACGGATCAGATTAATTGATCTGTAGACATGGATCTCCTTTTAGAGCTAAGATTGTAGAGAGGGAGAGTACGTTTCCTCTTTGTTACTCTTAATTATAAACAACTGTTACCATGTGTTGGTAAATGTTCTAGGTTAGTGGTTCTCAACTGGGGATGATTTTGCCCTGGAGGGTACATTTGTTAATATCTGTACATGATTTTGGTTGTCACAATCTGGTGGGGAAGGGTGGTGTGCTACCTGTCAGGAATGCTGCTAAACATCCTATGATACACTGGACAAGTTCCCCCAAATAATTATCTTGCCCCAGTAGTGCCACAATGGAGAGATCTTGCTTTGAGTGCTTACTGTTTGTTATCTCATTCCTCATAATAACCCTATTGTCCTGTTTATAGATAGATAGGGAACTATGGCTTAAAAGGAGTTTAAATGACTTTGCCAAGGTCAAGTGAGTCCGTCTGAATCCAGAGCCCAAGCTCTTAACCATTGCTTTGCTTGTTAAAGACAAGGGAGCAGTTGCATTAAACAGCAGCAGCAGCAGCAGCAGCACAGAGATACTGGCAGTAAAAGAATACATGGAAAGTATGTCTGTTCAGATAGGAGAGCCTTTCTCCTGCAGAGAAAGGAGCATGAAAAGACTGCATTAAAAGGAAAGGTTTAGGCCGGGTATGGTGGCTCACACCTGTAATCCTAGCACTTTGGGAGGCCGAGGCAAGTGGATCACTTGAGGTCAGGAGTTCCAGACCAGCCTGACCAACATGGCGAAACCTGCCTCTATTAAAAGTACAAAAATTAGCCAGGTATGATGACATGCACCTGTAATCCCAGCTACTTGGGAGGCTGAGGCAAGGGAATCTCTTGAGCCTGGGAGGCGGAGGTTGCAGTGAGTAAAACCGTGTCTGCTTTTTTTTTTTTTTGAGATGCAGTCTTGCATTGTTCCCCAGGCTGGAGTACAGTGGCGCAATCTCAGTTCACTGCAACGTCTGCCTCCCAGGTTCAAGCATTTCTCTGCCTCAGCCACCCAAGTAGCTGGGATTACAGGTGCCCGCCACCATGCCTGGCTGATTTTTTGTAACTTTAGTAGAGATGGGGTTTCACCATCTTGGCCAGGCTGGTCTTGAACTCCTGACCTCGTAATCCACCTGCCTTGGCACCCCAAAGTGCTGGGATTATAGGCGTGAGCCACTGTGCCTGGCTGAGCCTTTCTATACTATTAGGTTTTTTTTTCTAGTTTGGTATATTTTCAGGGCTTTAGCAAGGCTGGGAGGTGCTGATGTGGTAGTGGTTTTTCTCTTTTTTGAGATGGAATTTCACCGTGTTGCCCAGGCTGGAGTGCAGTGGCACGATCTTGGCTCACTGCAGCCTCTGCCTCCTGGGTGCAAGTGATTCTTCGCCTCACCCTCCCAGGTAGCTGGGATTACAGGCGTGCGCCACCATGCCTGGCTCATTTTTGTATTTTTAGTAGAGATGGGGTTTTGCCATGTTGGCTAGGCCGGTCTCGACCTCCTGACCCCAAGTGATCTGCCCGCCTCGGCCTCACAAAGTGCTGGGATTACAGGCATGAGCCATTGTGCCTGGCCAGATGTGATAGTGTTTATACTTGTCATGACTTCTAGCATAATTCTCACCATGGTTCTCTGTCCCATTCTTCAGTTGTTTTTTGAGGACAGCATTGATGATGCCAAGTACTGTGGACGGCTCTATGGCTTAGGCACAGGAGTGGCCCAGAAGCAGAATGAGGATGTGGACTCTGCCCAGGAGAAGATGAGCATCCTGGCGATTATCAACAACATGCAGCAGTGATGGCGCCAGGCTCTGCAGGTTGGGCCTGATCCCAGAGTGGTGCTTACTGTGCTGACTGTGTACTTACAAGAGAAAATGCTTCTTTTGAGCAAACTGTACCTACCATCTGCATTGAGCAGAAAGACTTTTGTTTTACTGAAGACAAAAGATGTCTTTATTTTAGACCCAGAAGAGAGGAGTTTGCTCTGAATTTGTAAGTAAGTCTTCCCCCTTCCTCATCCCTGAGCCTCTCCTCTCTGGTTGCCTCCTGCCACCAGCATCCATGGCTCATTTGACACCTTTTTAAATATCCAGGACAAGTCTGAAACAAACTAGTAAAATGTATATAACTCTTACCTGTTGTCATTCTTTTTCTTTTAAATTTGTTGCTAATCTCTGATAATGAAGATTCTTACTCTGATTCTCAGCTGAGCTGTGAGGGCTTCCAGGGAAAATGGAACAAAATGGTGTTCTTATGTAATGGGTTGTAGATACTGAGTCTTCCTTTCCTTTTCTGACCCTTCTTGAGGACATTTGCTTTCCTCACACTTTTGTAGTCTTTCTTTACATATTACTATATGGAAATGAATTGCTCTGTGCTGAAATTTGAAGACCAGAAAATGAAACTTAAAAGCAAACAATTTTACTGAATCTGTGTACCCTTCATTCATGAGAACTCCAGAATGAGTGTTGACCACTGAAGCATCTTTTAAGTCTGTGTTCCATTGTGCCACTCAGGTTTGCCGTTGCATACGCATCATCTGAAATCATTTGAAATTTTTGTACAATAAAATATCCTGGATTTGATCCCAAATGAAACTAGTAAGATCAGATTTTTGGGTCATGTCTGTTGTATTTTCAGTAATGTGATTTCAGATAGTCATCTGGATTCTCCCACTTCTCTATTTTCTCTACTTTTCCTTCCAGCAAACCTGAAACATTAGGGAGATGGATTAATGTGAGTACCAGGAATGTCTTTAAAAAGCTAGAGTGGTTACGTTTAATCAGGCAGTAAGATAATTTGGGTTCTTGAGTTGTTTTGGAGCAATATCCCACAACTGGGATAGGAAGCTCAGGACTTTTTTTTTTTTTTTTTTTTTTTTTTTTTAAAGCTAGTCATTTCAAAAGTATATTATATTTTTTTGAATGACCACAGTATGGACAATTTCAAAAACCAAAACTCCCTTTGGATTGGTGGAAATAAAAACTGGTAACTCACTCAAGTGAATGAATGGTCTTGCATTTTAAAAGCTTATGGGAAACTCAATTTGAAATGATTAAAAAATGTCAAGTATTATAAGCTGGTATTTAAGATGCTTGTAAATATTATTTATGTTTTTAATTTTGTAAAATAAAGATTTCTTTTTAACCACTGGCATTGAGGTTGGGTCTTTCATAGCTATGAATTGCTGGCTCTGGAAGATGGTCATTTGCCATCAGTGAAATAAGAGCATCTTGCCTCCATTGTCCCCAAGTTGGCTTACATACAAAATAACACTTGGGAGGGGGGGTGCGGGAATAAAAAAATATATATCATTTGGTAGGAAGCTTTTCACGAGCACCTGTGTAAATGGAATTGTCTCTTCATGCTCAAGATTGTTGAGTCTTAATATTATAGAATTAAACCAGTCTAATATTTCCTCACTCCATTATATATGGTGAATTAGCTGGTTAATTAGTGGGATTCTTTTAAACAACCTGAACTTTGGACATCCTAGAGTTGCCTCAAGACTTTGTTTCCAGCCATTTCTGTTGACACAAAATGGGGTTTTAAGAAGTCTGGTACAGGGGCAGATACAGAATTGTGACTGAGAAGTTGACATAGCAAGAGATTTATCACTGTAATTTGTGGTGAAACAGCAGTCAGTGGTTCTCAACCAGGATGCCCTGACATGCTGGTGACTGAACCCTATGCAGATACCCTTCCAAATTTGAATTAAAACAGGGCATTTAATATTTTCTACCATTAAGGTCTTACATGTCAGTAGAAATGCTGAGATAAAGAGTTGAGGAACTCAGTGTTGAGTGTGGGGTTTGGTAATTGCACGTGAGAGTTAAGAGCTTAGAGTAGTGCTTCAGCAAGAAAGAGCACAAGTCTATTAGAACTGGCAAGAACTTTGTGTGTATGAGTGCGTATAAGGCTATGTGAGTGCTCATCCTCAAAAAGTGATGGCACTGTAGGGTAACCAAGAGAATAACTTCAGGTGTAATTCTTTTGGGGTTTAGACAGGGTCTCACTCGGTCATCCAGGCTGGAGTGCAGTGGCATGATCTTGGCTCACTGCACCCTCACCTTCCTGAGTAGCTGGGACTACTGGTGCATGCCACCATGCCCAGCTAATTTATATATTTTTTAGTAGAGACGGGGTTTCACCATGTTGGGCAAGCTGGTCTCAAACTCCTGACCTCAAGTGATTTGCCTGCCTTGGCCTCCCAAAGTGCTTACAGGCTTAAGTCACTGTGCCTGGCTTGTAATTCTTTTTTTTTTTTTTTTTTTTTTTTGAGACAGAGTCTCGTTCTGTCACCCAGGCTGGAGTGCAATGGCGTGATCTCCGCTCACTGCAACCTCCGCCTCCCAGGTTCAAGCAATTCTCCTGCCAGCCTCAGCCTCCCAAGTAGCTGGTGCCAGAAATAATCAGTTCCTCTTCAAACTTCTTTCTTTTAGCAACTAACGTCCTTTCACATTGCTAGAAAAGATAAATTCTTGTTTTCTAAACAAGCCTTTCCATCTTTGCCATGCCTAAACATGCCCAAACATGCCTTAATGGACAATCCCTCTCTCCCCTCCTTTCTTTATAAGTTACACATTTAAAGGTTTCAGTTTACCCTATTTGGAAAAGTTTTACCACTGCTACCCCTTCTTCCCTATCTACCCTATTTAGAAAAATTTCAAGTTTTAGCCAATTGGGTTAGCTTAAATTGTGTGGTCTGACTCCAGCCAATGGGAAAGGGACACAAACAGAAGCTGCGTTAGGGATGAAAACCCTTCTCTTCTCCTTTGTTCAGTGTACTCTTGCGATTGTGACTGGTGCAGGCAGCACCCTTCTGCAGAAGTAGATTTGCCTTGCTGAGAAGTCTTTTGTTTGAGTGCTTGTTTTCTTTGTGACTCCAGGCTCTTATTTCCAACTGTTTGGGGGCTCGTCTGGTATCCCATTCTCCTCCGGGGAAGGGTCTCTGATCACCTCTCATGAGGAGATGCGTCCCACTGCCTCATTGCGATGGCCTCAGGAGTAAGGAATCAAGAACCACTGGTGTGAGGAACAAACCTGAACTCTCAACAATGAAGGAAGAAAAGGCCTACAAATACCGCAGCGACCAGGTAACTCTGCACACACCAAGGTCAGAAAAGCTGTGGGGGCAGTGAAGTACTTCCTTGGTGGTCAGGACATCCTGGAGGTTGAAAGTGTGTGAATAAGATACACAATTGAGTGTGAAGCGAGTGTGGAGTCCGGATCCGTGGTTCCATGTCACCTCATATGGCTTAAGGCAGCTTTCCTGTTCTGAGGCTTATACCAACCTGCCAATGCTAAGAACACCCCCTCAGTCATAACATCCCTGCAGCTGAACAAAAGTTCCTGGCCCAGGATCCGCAATGGAATAACAATGTAGCCCATCGAGGAATATGAGATCTCAGAAATATGATAATTAGAGGGATTTGGGAATCAGTTCCTCAAACTCAAAATATACCAAAGCTTTTAATATACAACAGGGAAAGGATAAAGGACTTATGGAATTCTTAGAGAGGCTTAAATTCCCATGAGGGAAGTAGCTGGAGAAGTACGAAGTGAAAGTAGGGGAGCGCAAGAAACCTCCAGTGGGCGGGGAGGGGTTGAACCTCCAGAGAAAAGGGGGTAAGAAATCTCTAGTAAGAGGTTGAGCCACACAGACTCAGGAAACGCAGGGAAACTTCTAAAACTTCCAGAATGGGAAGTACCTCAAGCAGGACAGGAAATAAAAAGGACAAGACAATACACTTCCCTCTGATAGCCCTCTAGGTCTCATGTTAACATGTTAGAAGGATAATGCGAGGACCAAACACAAGAAGAAGCAACAAATGATAAAATACTGCTGTTGTATTTGGACCAAAGAACCTATCCTCAAACCTTCAGTCTTTTGGCCAAGAGTTTCAGTCTAGTGAGGACTGGATTTGTCCACTTTTAATAGGGTATATCAATAACAAAAGTCCTGTGTCCCAGGAGGAAATAAGACTGTGCCCTGTGTTGGTGGCAGGGGCCTGTCCTATATTCCCTAAAGGATACAGGAGACAAGCCAGAAGCTACTTCTTCTCAAGAAATTAATATCCCTTACCCCAATAAGTCAACCAACACGTGGGACCCCTTAGACCACCTTCCCTGCCAAACACCACTAACTTCCCTCCCCCTCCAGTAGATGCAACTGCCCCAGACCCTTCCCCAGCTCACTTTGTTTCTCCCCCTTATAATCCTGACTCTTGGGGTCTCCCCAGCCTGAATGCCCTCCCCCAGGAAGACTTCAATGTGAGATAGCACAATGTAAAAAAGATATCCAAAACTTCCCTTTCCCCACTACCTCCAGAGAATGTGCTCCAACGATCCTTCCCTTAAGGGAAGTGCCTCTAGGAGGAGGGGGCATTGGTTCCGTCAACGCCCCGTTAATCAGTTCAGAAATCCAAAGCCTAACAAGGGAACTCAAACCACTCTTAGATGATCCCTATGGAGTAGCAGATCAAATTGATCAATTTCTAGGACCCCAGTTGTATACTTGGGCTGAGTTAATGTCCATCCTAGGCATCCTCTTTTTGGGAGAGGAAAGAAGCATGATCCGCAGGGCCACTATGACGGTTTGGGAACATGCTCAGTCCTAACGTCCCTGCAGCTGAACAAAAGTTCCCGGCCCAAGATCCTCAATGGAATAACACCCTCAAAGGAATATGAGAGATCTCAGAGATATGATAATTAAAGGGATTCGGGAATCAGTTCCTTGAACTCAAAATATACCAAAGCTTTTAATATACAACAAGGAAAGGATAAAGGACCTATGGAATTCTTACAGAGGCTTAAAGAGCAAATGAGGAAATATGCTGGCCTAGAATTAGAAGACACCCTTGGGTGAGGAATGTTAAAGCTCCACTTTGTCACCAGATATTACAAAGAAATTACAAAAGATAGAAAATTGGAAAGACCGTCCCATAGAAGAGCTTTTAAGAGAGGCCCAAAAGGTATATGTATGAAGGGATGAGGAAAGGCAAAAGCAAATTGGGTTTGAACGGATTGAAGGTATCATATCCCTCCCTCTGCCAGAAACAAAACAAGAGCTCAGAAAATGTTGGGGATTGGTTGGATACTGTTGCCTATGAATTGACTCTTATGCCTCAGAAACAAAACCTTTGTACCAAAGACTCACCCAAGAAGAGCCAGACCCCCTTCTTTGGACTCCACCAGAAATCAAACAAGTAGAAAAATTAAAACATTTACTAGTGACTGCCCCTGTTCGAGCTTTACCCTCCCTAGAACAGCCATTCCATCTTTTTGTCAGTATAAGCAAAGGAGTGGCTTTAGGGGTACTTACCCAAGAGCATGGGGGCCACTGGCAGCCCGCAGCATTCCTGTCAAAAATTATTGACCCCGTTACCCGTGGTTGGCCCGAATGTGTCCAATCTGTAGCAGCAATAGCCTTGCTCAGTGAGGAAAGCAGAAAATTAACCTTTGGGGGAAAACTCACTGTTAGCACACCTCACAAAGTCAGAACTATCCTCAACCAAAAGGCAGAAAGGTGGCTCGCTGATTCAAGAATTTTAAAATATGAAGCTATCCTGTTAGAGAGATGACTTGACACTAACTACTGACAATTCTCTAAATCCAGCTGCTTTTCTAACTGGGAATCCAAATCAAAAGGTAACAGGGAACCCACAACCAAAGGAACTTGAGCATAAATGTTTAGACCTAATTAGTTACCAAACCAAAGTTAAGACTAGACTTACGTGAAACTCCTTTTCAAACAGGGAAACATCTTTTTGTAGACAGTTCCTCTCCGGCAATAGAAGGAAAAAGGGATTACAGATACTCTGTAGTTGACAAAGATACCCTCACAGAAACAAAATCAGGAAGATTACTGAATGGCCCACACAGATGTGCGAGCTACTTGCTCTAAATCAAGCCTTAAAATTTTTACAAAATCAGGAGGGAACAATTTATACTTCCAAATATGCCTTTGGAGTACTACATACCTTTGGGAAAATCTTTTTTTTTTTTTTTTTTTTTTTTTTTGAGACGGAGTCTTACTTTGTTGCCCAGGCTGGGGTGCAGTGGCCGGATCTCAGCTCACTGCAAGCTCCGCCTCCCGGGTGCACACCATTCTCCTGCCTCAGCCTCCCGAGTAGCTGGGACTACAGGCGCCTGCCACCTCACCCGGCTAGTTTTTTGTATTTTTTAGTAGTGACAGGGTTTCACCGTGTTAGCCAGGATGGTCTCGATCTCCTGACCTCATGATCCGCCCATCTCGGCCTCCCAAAGTGCTGGGATTACAGGCTTGAGCCACTGCGCCCAGCCACCTTTGGAAAAATCTGGACTGAATGAGGCCTTACTAACAGTAAAGGTCAAAACCTAGTCTACAAGGCCGGGTGTGGTGGCTTGTGCCTATAATCCCAGCACTTTGGGAGGCCGAGGCAGATGAATCATGAGGTCAGGAGATGGAGACCAGCCTGGCTAACATTGTGAAACTCCGTCCCTACTAAAGATACAAAAATTAGCCAGGCGAGGTGGCGGGTGCCTGTAGTCCCAGCTACTCGGGAGGCTGAGGCAGGAGAATGGCGTGAACCCGGGAGGCAGAGCTTGCAGTGAGCTGAGATCACACCACTGCACTTCAGCCTGGGCGACAGAGACGCTGTCTCTAAAAAAAAAAAACCTAGTCCACAAAGAGTTACTAATACAAGTATTAGATAATCTCCAGCTTCCTGAGGAAATAGCTATTGTTCATGTCCCAGGACACCAAAAAAACCCTCTCCTTTGAAAGTCGGGGAAATAATCTAGGCAACCAAATAGCCAAACAGGCTGCCTCTTCCCAAGCTACACCCATTTTTCATTTAGCCCCTCATCTTCCCCCATGCAGACCAGGAAAAACTAAAGAAATTAGGAGCTGAGGAAAATTCAGAAGGAAAATGGGTATTACCAGATGGAAGAGAAATGTTATCCAAGCCTCTTATGAGGAAAATATTGTCACTTCATCAAGGATCTCAATGGGGTCCTCGAGCTACGTGTGACGCAGTCCTTCCAGTCTATGAATGCATAGGAATATATACCCTCACTAAGCAAGCAGTCGATGGTTGCATAGTGTGCAGAAAGACTAACAAGCAAACCCTAAAGAGGCAACCTCCAGGAGGAAGGAACCCACGGTTAAGGCCATTCCGAAGTGCCCAGGTTGACTATACTGAAATGCCCCCAATAGGCCACCTCCAGTATTTGCTAGTAATAGTAAACCACCTTACCCACTGGGTAGATTCCATCCCCTTGCCAAGCGCAACAGCCAGTAATGTGGTCAAAGCCCTGTTAGAACACGTCACACCCAGGTTTGGACTAACAGAAAACATTGATTCAGACAATGGGACCCACTTCACTGCACACATCATTAAAGGACTAACCCAGGCATTAGAAACAAAATGGGAATACCATATTCTTTGGCATCTGGCCTCATCAGGGTAAGTAGAAAGAATGAGTCAAACTTTAAAAAATCACCTAATCAAGTAAATCCTGAAAACTTGGTTACCATGAACAAAATGTCTTCCCATTGCCTCACTCAAAATCCAGATTGCCCCTTGAAAGGACCTTGGCCTGTCCCCTTATGAAACGCTCTATGGGTTGCTTTACCTAAATTCCACTATTGGCCTTTCTACATTTGAAACGAAAAATCAGTTTCTCAAAAACTTTGTATTTGGTTTGTCTTCCACCCTTTCCTCCCTCAGGATTCAAGGCTTCCTAGCGCAAACATCACCCCTCAAATTCCCAGTCCACCAACATCAACCCGGAGATCATGTCCTTGTCAAAATCTGGAAAGAGGGAAAGCTCGAGCCCACCATTGAAGAAGCTTACCTGGTGCTCCTAACAACTGAGACAGCAGTCTGAACTGCTGAAGAGGGGTGGATCCATTGTACCCAAGTCAGAAAGTCGCTGCCCTCTCTGAAGCCATGGACCGTCGTCCCAGGGCCAACTCCCACCAGAGTAACATTAAAGAGAAAAGCCTAATCTCTTTTTCCTCTTCTCTTTCCCTTAGCTACCTCTCATCTTATTATTAATGTAACTAGGTCAAGCTCACCCCAAACCCAAAGCATTACTTTCAATGCTTGTCTTGCCATGCCCTGTGGGGATCTCCAAAGTCAGAGACAGCTAGCCTCCTAGAAAAGCTCTGCCCATCCACCCCTTCCAAACCCAGCACCACCTATAACCGTTGCCATCAACAACCATGAGCCTTCCAGGGGTTATGATATAGTTGGGAGATGTTATCTGGACTACCAAATAGCAGGGCTGGACCTCCTCAGAAAGCTGCACCACCCTAAAACCCTACCTCCACTTCACCAAAGGAACCACCTGCTCAAATTGCCAAATCCACCAGTGCAACCCAGTACTTCTCTCTATTCTTATCCCCACCTCCACTGACCCTAACCCCACTTGTCTTTATGGCCTAGGAGTGGATGTCACTGGAAAAGAACCCATAGGCTCCTTTAAAATACATTTTGTTGGCTGGGCGCAGTGACTCACACCTATAATCCCAGCACTTTGGGAGGCCGAGGCAGGTGGATCACAAGGTCAAGAGATTGAGACCATCCTGGCCACCATGGTGAAACCCCATCTCTATTAAAAACAAAAATTAGCTGGGCATGGTGGCACATGCCTGTATTCCCAGCTACTTGGGAGGCTGAGGCAGAATTGCTTGAACCTGGGAGGCCGAGGTTACAGTGAGCCGAGATCATGCCACTGCACTCCAGCCTGGCGACAGAGACTCTGCCTCAAACAAACAACAACAAAACAAAAACAAAAAAAAAGTTTTAACCTTCCTCCATCTCCTACCAACTCGCCTCCCCCACGCCCACCAAATCAAATCATTTTTTGTTTCTTACCTAATAATAAGAAAGTAGCCATAGTAGAAGTCAAGGACCTAAAGCAAACCTTAGCCATAGAAACCAGATATCAAGATGTTAATGCCTGGCTGGAATGGATTAAATATTCTGCTCACACCCTAAATAAAAGCGATTGATACACTTGTGCAACAGGCAGGCCAGAAACCCAAATTGTTCCCTTTCCACTTGGATGGACCTCCAACCAACAGGGCATGAGCTGTATGGTAGCTCTCTTCCAAAACCCCACAGCCTGGGGCAATACGGCATGCTAAACTCGCTCACTGCTATTCTCGAAGTCAAAGGCCCTGTAGGTCAGCTCCGGTTGACAATGTAAATTTTACCTCGTGTCTCTCACGACGGGGAAAATTTGGCATTCCTTGGAAGCCTAGTGGGATGCAGTGAGTCCAAGCCTTTTCAGGAGCTAACCAATCAGTCTGCCCTTGTTCATCCCCGGGCGGATGTATGGTGGTATTGTGGTGGGCCACTACTGGGTACTCTGCCAAGTAACTGGAGGGACACTCACGCTCTAATCCCATTGGCCATCCCTTTCGCCCTGGTGTTTCACCAAACAAAAATAACAATTGTAAGAGCAGAAGTGCCCCTTACGGGTCCTTTGACCCTCACATTTATATAGATGCCATTGGAGTTCCATGAGGGCTACCAAATGAGTTTAAAGCCCAAAATCAAATAGCCGCAGTATTTGAATCTATATTGTTCTCATGGTAACTGCAAACAAAAATGTAGACTGGATAAATTACATTAACTATAATCAACAATGGTTTGTTAATTATACTAGGGATGCCATTAAAGGAATAGCTGAACAATTAGGCCCTACCAGCCAAATGGCCTGGGAAACTGAATAGCCCTGGACATGATATTAGCTGAGAAGGTTGGGGTCTGTATCATGATTGGAGTCTAATGCTGTACTTTTATCTGCAACAATATAGCCCCCAATGGAACAATTACAAAAGCCCTATAAAAGGCCTTACCACCCTAGCAAACGAATTGGCCAAAAATTCTGGAGTAAATGACCCCTTCTCTAACCTCATGAAAAAATGGTTTGGAAAATGGAAGGGACTCATAACCTCAATCTTTACCCCCCTTGCCATTGTTATAGGTATATTTATTCTTTTAGGTTGCTGCATTATACCCTGTATTTGTGGATTAGTGCAAAGACTCATAGGAAACGCTCTCCCAAAACCCCTCTTGCTTATCCCCCACCCTACTCAGATAAGCTCCTATTCCTAAGTGGACAAGAGGAACAATAAAGTCAAGATATGTTAAGGAGACTTGAAGAGGAAGAACTACCAAGAGGGGGAAATTTGCCAATCAATCAATTCCTCTTCAAACTTCCTTGTTCCTTTTAGCAACTAATGTCCTTTCACATTGCTAGAAAGGATAAATTATTGTTCCCTAAACAAGCCTTTCCATCTTTGCTGTGCCTAAACATGCCCAAACATGCCTTAATGGACAATCCCTTCCTCCCCTCCTTTCTTTACAAGTTATGTGTTTAAAGGTTTAAGTTTACCCTATTTGGAAAAGTTTTACCACTCCTACCCCTTCTCCCCTGTCCACCCTATTTGGAAAAATTTCAAGTTTTAGCCAATCGGGCTAGCTTAAATTGTGTGGTCCAACTTCAGCCAATGGGGAAGGGACACAGAAACAGAAGTTGCGTTAGGGACAAAAAGCCTTCTCCTTTGTTTAGTGTGCTCTTGCGACTGTGACTGGTGCAGGCAGCACCCTTCTGCAGAAGTAAATTTGCCTTGCTGAGAAGTCTTTTGAGTGCTCATTTTCTTTGCGACTTCGAGCTCTTATTTCCAACACTGGGATTACAGACATGTGCCACCACGCCCAGCTAATTTTTGTATTTTTAGTAGAGATGGGGTTTCTCCATGTTGGCCAGGCTGGTTTTGAACTCCTGACCTCATGTGATCTGCCTGCCTCGGCCTCCCAAAGTGCTAGGATTACAGGTATGAGCCACTGTGCCTGGCCATAATTTATTTTAAAAATTTTATTTATTACTTATAGAGATGGGAGTTTGCTATGTTGCCCAGGCTGGCCCTGAACTCCTGGCTTCAAGCAATCCTCCTGCCTCAGCCTCCATAGTATCTAGAGTATAGGTTTGCACCATAGCACCAGGCAACTGAGTGCAATTCAGCCCCTCCATATATGCTGCCAAATGTTGGTCTCAAATATATACTGCCTCCATATATACTGCCCAGCTGGTCTCAAACTCCGGTCCTCAAGTGATTCACTTGCCTTGGCCTCCCAAAGTGTTGGGATTATAGGCATGAGCCACCCCGCCCGGACTCAAATAGTAAATCTTGTTCTTACCAAAGCAGTAACTGAGGAGTGAGCAGGACCCTTCTACCCACAGGTAATGCTTCCGACAGATCATAAAGGAATTTAGAATTCTAGTTTAACAATATCACTCTTTACTCAAGTGGAACGGACTATATATTTTTTCCACCTCTGTAAGCAAAGTTCATTTTAGCAGTTTGTAGAACTGGTGTCCAGTTTTCTACCTAGCCATGCCTATTTATATCTTTGCAATCAAGAAAGATTCTCCACCTCTAGTAACAAAGCATCATCTTCCTAAAGTTCACTTAACTGTATGAAGAACTGTTAGGATCTAAATTCTACAGTATTTCCCTTTGTAGAGTTTATTAAACTGTAATGCTAGGCACATACACATCTTTGAAAACCGCCTTAAACTTTTTCCTTCCTGGGACTCCCTGTAAATGAATTTCATTCTTACTGTCCCAATCCCAATCCTAGGAATTAACTGAAAAATAAACTACAAACGTGAGCAGAAAAGCCTTCACAATGAATCCTAGATAAAACAGTTCAATTATGTGAAAGGCGTATTCCTTCCCACACCCATGCCAGACTCTGATTTTCCCATCCTAGCAACTGCGACATTACAGAAACATCTGTTCCTGATACTGTTCAACTGTTTAAATAACCAAGGAGGAGGAAAAAAAGATTTACAATTAAATAGTATTTAGGGTCCCAATTGTCAGAGTCCAAAAATCCAAAGGTCATCTATGCAAAATTAGGAACAAGTATTTTTCTCCAAAGAGTATCTTTGGCTTTAATCTGATTCTCAAAAGGATCCTATGATCCAAGAAAAGTTTAAAAACCATTGAAACAGTAATTTATTCCTGAGCTATTTGACTGCCATCGATACATCTGTTATAAAACTGAAGGGAAAACACACATTTGAATCACTTCTTCTAAAGCTTTAGTAAATGATCTGTTCAAATAAGCAATTACATAAAAGAATAAAACCAAATTTCCAACCTAAAATTCTGACAGGAGAGTCAACATGATGGTTAAGGCCTATTTCATATTCAAACTTCAATCTATGAAAGAGGAGAGAGAGAAGGGTCTCCGCTTTCAAATTAAATATTATAAAAACAATTTTAAAAAAGATAGTATCAATAGTCCTAAAATGCAGCAACTCCATCTCAAACAAGCATGACACATTTCTGATCAGATGAAGTATTTATAAAGGTAGCTTGTGTTTTAAGCATGTAACACTTTGGGTGATGACAGAAGTTTCTCCTCTTTGGATGAAACCTGCCTAAGGCTGTAGAGATGACCAACACTCTGCAGGTATTAGTTCTGAATAACTACTGCGGGCTTTACATGATCTTCCCTCCAGCAGGAGACCACAATTGAGTCTAAAGTCAGATCCACTGTGTCTGTGGGTAGGCAGGGTTGATTCAAACTTAATCCTCGTTTGTATTCATTTGGATTACCGCAAAAACAGCTAGGGACCAGAGTGAATGTCTGGTGAGGTGGAACTGCAGAGGTGAAAGGTGTCAACATTTTCAGTTTGGCAGTTTCTTCAAGGTGTGTAAAAATTCACGTGCAGAAGGTCTGGCAGTGTCTTTTGTAAGTTTTCGTGTTGCCGTATTTCTGAAGGAGCTCTAGGGCCTGCTGCTGCATTTCCTGGGCCAGACACCCAGGAAAGTGGGACCTGATGAGAAGCAGGACGAGGCAGCACTCCAGCACATCTGGGAAGGGCCAGGCCTGAAATATGATGACATGAGGATGAATAAGGAAGCATTTGCAAAAGAGCCACAAACACCTTCACAGAAGGCACCAGTGACTCAGGTTCAT